ATTTTGAAATCATACACCACTGCTTGCATCTGAGATGAATGCCATTTTCTTTCAAGAGGAGAAACAGGTAAACATCAGATGAGAAAAATAAGAAAATCCAATGGAAGAGGGAAGGTATACAACTGGATATAATTTAAAATTGGACACGATATTGAACCACGCAACCTTTTATATCATGAAACATGGAAGAAAATAAGAGTCGATTTTCTGGTGATGTTTATAGATTATTTGCATTGACAGATAATGTAGTATTCTACCAATATAGCCAACGTCGGCAAAATAATGATTGGTTTCTTATTGTATTATATATATTGATAAAGTAACTCGGACAAACAAGATTCTACCGCCTATAAGGTCTGGGAGAAATACCAATAAAAGAAAATAGCATTATAATAGAGATGACCCGGGTTGCACAATATTGTCAACCTGTGCTTGCTTGAACACAACGAGGCTCACTTTATTTCTAATTCAAAGTTAATGAAGCTCATTTTATTCATCAAAATCATTACTACGTCTATTTTTAAGTTTTGACCTTCTCCATATTTCTGTTCTATTCACTTTGGATTTAAAAAAACTGCGGGGGAAGGGGGACACAAACACAAGTTTGTGCAATTTCTTCGCCGATTTTGCATAATGTTTCTTAGCCCCCCCCCCCCCTTTCTCTCCCTCTCTCTCTCTCTCTCTCCCTCCTCATATCTTTCTCCCTCTCTCTTACTTTTTGTTATCTCATTTACTCACTAATCGTTATTTTCTGGCTATACTGGTGCGTACGTTCCCCAATATCCCTTAACAACTCCACTGTTTTTCACTGCACAAGCTACATCAGGTGAGGTTGCACGAAACATGTTCAAATAAAAAGACATTCGCAAACATTCGAAAATATTCGCAATCTATCACTATCGTGCAAGCAATCCGATCTCTTATTTGGAGACGAACTCAAGACCTCATCCACCCCAATCCACTTTATGTCAGCACATCCATCTACTCTTCCTCTTTCTCTCTCTCTCTCTCTCTCTCTCTCTCTCTCTCTCTCTCTCTCTATCTCTCTCTCTCTCTCTCTCTCTCTCTCTTAATGGGGACTATAGGTCATTAGACACAAACATCGAAAGATAGTGATCAGTATGATGGGGTTGGTATTAATATGCTCAACTGACAAAAGAAGCATCCACATTTTGTTTTGCTATAACAGAGACGTCGCGCAGAGACGTCCAAATATGAACTACCAGATTGCATGCAGACGAGAGGGAAGCTTAGGCAGTTAACAGACTTCAACAAGACAGATATCTCAGGAAGTTAGAAGTCCGACCGATATTTATAAATGGGTAATCCTAAGGCATTCTAAAAGCAGAGTGATTCATCTAAACAGACTGGCGTAAATTCGTAGAGCTCTCCGAGTACATCGAGACACTCGGTGAAAAATAAGGATAGCAGATATAATATGTGGCCAATCCGCCCTTAATGAAAGCATCAGACATCAGAGGGGTTTGTTATTCTGACTTCGAAGTTCGTTCATTGCTTATAGCCGTAGAATGATGAATGGGTAAGGAACAGTGGCATGGAATAGGGATGTGTGGGGTCGCGTGTGCCCCCCCCCCCCCCCATCGAATAGGAAAGAAAACTGACAAATTGAAGGGAAGGAGGTAAGAGGGTAAAGGTAACGTAAAAAGGTGATATGATCCTTTCCTTCATCCTCCCCCAATCGATGGCCTTCTTCATTCACATTCATCCACCAAATAAAAGAAGCCCATTACCCCCCCCCCCCCCCCTCCCCTCCCCACATCGAGTCAGTGCATCCTTGATGTCTGGTCCTACGCTACGCCACTGCGGACTCAAGACATCCTTATCAAACCGTATGTGAAGCATCAGGGGTTTATTGTTCCAATATCTACATAAAGAGCATGCATGGCTCTTGGCTGTTGGATAATGAATGTGTTAGGGTAGGCCATCAGGCTATGGTGTCTGATTATTTTATTACACTTCAATCTCTTAAATCATAAAATGTATGCATTGCAAATGTTTTTCGTTTTCACCCCTATCATTACCCATGTACCATTTTCTACGTCATTTTTAATGCAAAATAAATCGAAGACACGGCTAAATTACGTTTAAATAGCCGGATAAAATGTGAGTATAACTCCTTCCGAAAAAGAAAAAAATTAGTGTCTTTTATCACAAAAGGTCACCCAAAACATATAGCACCGTCTCTCGCTTTCAGGGGCTTAGAATCACCATAAAGAAACGGGCATTAGGTTATAGATACATTTTTAAAATTTCTATTTCCAATATCTGATTCAGTCTCAATCTGTGATTCATACAATACTTCCATAGAAATTTTAGTAAATTCTGAAGCTTTGGAAGCATGTGGTTTGCACATGGTCCCATTATTTTTAGGTTAATGAGATGACATATGGTGACAGCCGAGAGTAATCATTGTACATCACGTGATGGATGAATGATTGTCCTCGCAAACAGGGTGTGTGGATTGATTCAGAAACATGGAGAGATAGAAAGGAAATATAAGGGGGAAGAAGGAATAGAGAGAAAGAAAAAAACGAAACACAAAATAAAAACAGAATTTTCCAATGATCGAAATATGATTATCTGTTAAAAACAAAAACAAACAGATGTGACAGTAACAGTACAATTAATACTAGTAATAGCAGTAGAAGTAGTAGTAGTAGTAGTAGTAGTAGTAGTAGTAGTATAGTAGCAGCAGCAACTGTTTACAGTAAAATTAGTAGTAGTATAGTAGTAATTGTATCAGTAGCAGCAGCAGCAACAGTAAAATTAGTAGTAATAATAATAGTAATAGTAGTAGTAGTTGTAGTGTAGTAGTAGTAGTAGTAGTAGTAGTAGTTGGAGTAGTAGCAACAGTAGTAGCATCAGCAACAACAGCACATCGGCGATAGTAGTAGAAATTGAAGGATGAATATTACGAAAAGAAGACCGATCATCAACACATAATGAAAAAAACTTACTCCTGTTTGGGTAATACTTTAAATTCATAATAATATGTTATAGAAATATCAAGTTTCGTTAAATTATATGTACATTTTTTTTTTTTAAATGACATGAAGTTATCTCATAATTTGTTTGTATATCTTATATTATACCTTATGTTTATATGTTCTTTGTTATTCTGTTATTATATTTGGAAAAATGCAGAAATAAAATAAAATCAAATATCTAATATTTGCAATGCTTGTGTGTATCATGATTGTGGCATATCCAGACGGAGCTAGGATTTTGAATCCCCCCCCCCCCTCCCCCTCCCCTTCCGAATCCCCTTATCGGAGAATCTTGGTTCCCACCCTTGGTATAAAATTACCTTGAATCGTGTTTCATAATAATCACGTGATTACACAGTACTGCTTCAGTAGATGTGAACCTGTTATAATGATGATGTCTTGTTGAGATGTGATTACGTCACCATTCACAACTTATTTGAAATGGAAATTAGTTTTCATGGAATCTCGCACTCGAACGTACACCTACGTGGCTAGACCTATAATCTATTGAAAGCCATGATGACTTTAAAGCCAGTTATTTAATTGTATATCTAATGACAATTTGTCCCGCAGCCGTAAAACTGGATTGTAGTCCCTCAAACAATTACAGATGAAAATAAATCCATATACAATAACACGTAACGTGAGCAAAACAACATACTTAAGATGATAAAACTGTATGCAATTAGGCATGGTAAAGATGACTTAAGTACGTTTCTCCTCCAATAATTGTCTCATTTTCCGCCCGAATGAAAAGAGAGAAAGAAAAAGAATAGCCAGTGACGTAGTGTTTGTCCATCCACGGACTCGATTTGGGGGGGGGGGGGGGGAGGAGGGGCATTGATGGAATCGTGGACGTAAGTCTTGAAAGGCAAATGAAATGAGAATGGACAATACTTTCGGGTAGAGTGAGTGTGTAAACGGGTATGAATCACAGGGTTTTACCGCTATAGCCCTTTCTTTCTCTTTATTCTCTCAGGTTTCTCTTCGTTTACAATGTTAACTTTATTTCGCTGTTCGACTAGGAAACATAATACCCCTTCCCCCCCCCCCACCATTAGTTACGCGACAAATGATATCAGTTACAACTGCATATGATGAATAATAACAAGAAATCTGGCGGACTAGGTACATGTAACTGATGCACGAAGTTACATCACATTGAGTTAGCTGAGAAGATTAAAGGAAGCATCACCTTAACGATCCTGCTCATTATGGCCCGAATTCACAAAGGAGGTTTGTCGACAAACCGAGGTTTATGTGCGTCATACGACCCGTTTTTACAAACCTTGGTTTGTAAAAAAACAAAAGGAGGTTTGTCGACAAACCTCATTTGTGAATTCGGGCCTATATGTCTATTCAGTCTCTCAATCTATCACTCAATACAATCAATCGTTTAAATAAGCCGTTTGCTCGTGTGACATTTTCTAGTGTGACATATCTACAGCTCGAAGAGGGAGCAGTGATACAAACAAACATGTTTTGCTCATTAGCGTTAGCCTGAAATGTTTGAGGGTGATTTAATTGCTACGATCAATTAGGTTAGAGATTGTTGTTGAGATTCAACGCGTTGTTATTTGTATACAGAGAAACGAAAAGAAAGCACTTAATTGTGATGCTTGGATTTGTTACCGAAATATTTATTTAAAAAATGATGACTAGACTACTGTAGATAATGGGTTAGTGATTTCGGTTTTACTCAATAAGAACCGTATGAGTATACGATGCAACTGAAGAAAAATTAAACTATTATTTACATTCTTTATATATTTGTATTTTTTCTCTGTACCTCAGTCTCTCTCTCTCTCTCTCTCTCTCTCTCTCTATTTTTTCTCTCTGTCTCTCTGTCTGTCTGTCTCTTTCTCTCTCTCCTTCTCTCTGCAATTCTCTCTCCTTCCCTCTCTTTCCGTCTCTATCCCACAAATGATCTTAAGAAGAAAAAAAGTCATGATAAAGAAACGTTATCCGTGTCCTTCGAATTGAAGTTGGCTCTTAACATGCTAAAAACGGGAAAATAATTGCAAGGGTGTATAGTATTGCGTAATTAATACAGAGAACACAAAACTGTCCCAAGGCATAATGCAACCTGGTTATTTTTTTATCCCCCGTCTAGTGGTGATCGATGTCGTCTGTTTATGCTCAGCCTGATGAGTAATATAAATTCGATGATCTTCCAGTACTCACAAGGTGACAGCGGTGGGATATGATCCAGTGCCCTCACTTTGACTGATGGCTCAAATATCAGCTAATCACAGTAATAACAATGATGTCGTGTTATATGTTTCCAATACGACATAGGTGGTTTATCATGTTTTTATCCAAAAGCAATCATGAAACGAAATAAACATGATATGGCAATTTGAATAAGACGGTGGTGTTACCAGAATAAATCATTTAATTACTAAGTTGGCATATCAAGAGGCTTTCATTTTGAATGATATAAATAAGACCTGACTGGCATACAAGATATTATTGCAAGAAATTAGTACTAAGTAAGTGCTCTGAATAATGCAAGAATGACCTTGATAACTTACCTAAAGTTTTGACCGTCTTGACCTCAGTAAACCTCTTCTTGTTGTCACATCGCCCTTGTGGATGGAATGTAAATATCGAGGTTCGTACTCTCCGTAACACTGGTTTAGTCACTTGCACATCCTCAGGTTTCGAATATCCTGTGCAAGCAACCTCAGCAGATGCCGCTACTGTTGAGTTTGCCCTTCCGGTACAACGTGAATTGTGTTCCATCCTGTATAGGTCTGGTCGCCTTCTTGAAGGGGGGCAAGAATGGACCTGGTCGTAGTGGGTGCGTGTTTGATAGAGAGACTGGTTATTGATCTTTTGTTGATTTTGTTGGTGGTGGTCATTTAGTTGGGGGGCAGAGTTTCGCCTGAATTCGGCGCCTCGTCGAGACACTTGGTAAATCCTAGTGTAGACAATCACCATGACTAGAAGTGGTATAAAGAATGATCCACACGACGAGTACACAACGTAGAGTTTGTCGACATCATACTCACAGAGTTGCGCTGATCGATTTCGGGAATGTGGCCATCCGATGAGGGGAGGACACGCAATCAAGAAAGATGTTATCCAGACCAAAACGATCATGACCGCTGCTCGACGAAAGGTCTGTTTCCTGACGTAATGGAGCGGAGACGTGATCGAGCGACAGCGGTTGATTCCTATGGTACACAGATGTAGGATTGATGCAGTACAACAAGCAACATCGGTGAAGATAAAGAGATCACAAACTCGAGGCCCAAGATCCCATTTTCCGCCTGATAGCTCTACCCGAACAGACAACGGGAGAACCAACATAGCAATGGACAAGTCAGCAATTGCAAGCGAAGCGAAGAAGAAGTTTTCAAAGGTCCTTAGCTTCTTTTCCAAACACACTGCTAGGACCACGAGAGAGTTTCCCAGCGTGGTTAAAGCAATCATCAAACACAAGATGGCTCCTTCAAAGATCTGCTCGGCCGTATCCAGCGAGGTCCATTCTGATCCTGTGTCATTGTCGGATCTGGCTGTGGTGATGTCCAGTGTGATATCTGACATGTCTGACCATAGAGCCTCGGTGTAGGAGACCGCTAGGCCAGGCTTATTGGTGACGGCCAACAGGGTGGGTGAATCCATTGCCATGATTGACGATCATGCGTTACTTGAGGAAGGTAGTAATGGATGGAGCAATAACTAAACATGTACAGAGGTCATCGTGAAGGAATCATCAATATTATCCCTTTGAGATAGACTCGGGTGGCTAAGAAAATTAAATGTCAACAGCACTTCTCTATTCTGATCACAATCTATTCCATCTACATTACGTTATGTTTAAAAGAAGTAATCATGGTATCAAATACCAGGAAGATTGGACTATACTATAAGATCTTTTCCACCTCCATTTACAAAAGCACTACTTTACTAGATAATTGTAAACAAACAACACAAACCATTTTCCTTGGTATTATGAAGACGATCTGAGTAGGATATGAAAAGATTTGATCTCCTCCGAACACATCACATCAGTATTTCGATTAATTAGTCTAGGCTGCACTTCAATATAAGAATATATGAAGATAAGTACTGGCATTAACTCCGAAATGACTCGACCTAATGGCAATGGACCTCAAATGTTAATCATCCACAGTAAAATTGATGATTATAGCGAACGAATCACGGATGAACACAGTTAGTCGTTTTATTCCTTTTGTATGTCCTGCAATAAATATCTACACAGTAGATTAACATTAATGTTCCTCTCTTAAGACTGTAGATAAATCAATTCGTGAAGATGGATGTATATTCTGGCGCCAAGGAGAATGCTAAATCTAAAAATACGCTTTCTGGATAACTTTTGTCACGAAAGACTGAGCGGACCTCGTTTCACAATGATGAGGAAGTTTTGATGCTGTTTTTGTTTGGTTCCTATTCACAAGTCATGTAACTCATCCGTCTTGACTTATCGACTGACTAGCGTACGTGGTTGGTCAGACATCTCGTTGATATGACGACCAAATACCTACCTCCTTCTCCTCCTCCTCCTCCTCCTTCTCCTCACTCCGCATCATTGATAAGCATGAATGACATTATACACTGCGGATCGAGCAGACGATGAAGCCGAGATTTATTTTATGCAAGAAAAACTACAGCGTGTTGACCCGCTCTAGGCAAGGACCACCATAAGTGTTAAGATCTATCCAGCGCCCTCTTTTGAAAGCAAAAACACAATTATATGTGGGAAAGAAAACTTTTTAAAAAGGCGTTTTATAATCCATAATCTGATTTAAAATTATCGATGATTTCGTTTCCTCTTGCTTATTTTGCATTTCCCTCCTTCTGTAGTAATTGCGGTCTGTTAAACCGTCTTTCTGCGAGCTGTCTGTTTTCCCTCGGGGGAGTGGGGGGGGGGGACGATGTTTCTGTCTCCCCCGTAGTGGATAATAGTCCCTTTGTGGCAAGGTGTATTTTCATCATCATTAATTGAACACTCTCTTCTTCACCACCACCATCTTCATCATAATCTTTACCATCATTACCTTCATTATCATCATCATCATCATCATCATCGCTTTCATTATCAATATCACCATCATCATAAGCATCATCGTCATCATCATCACCGTTATCAACGTCACCATCATTATCACCATCATTGTCTTCATCATCATCACCATCAACGCAATCATCATCGTCATCATCATCATCGTTATCACCATCACCCTCATTATTCCCATCATTATCATCATTATAATCATCATCATATTCCTTATAACCATGATCATTATAGTCGCCATTATATTCCCGTCGTTCAACCGATCAGGCTTTGCATTGAGACATTTTTAGTCGTATCATCCCTCTATCAGAAACTGGTTTAGAAAGAGGATGACTGCGGGAGATTGCGGGAGGCAGGTCCGTCACTTTGGCATCCTTAAAGACTTCGGAGCAGGTATAACAACAGGTGAAAATGTTAAAATATCAAAGAGAGAGGGGGGGGGCGGGTCTTCATTATAGGATGTGAGTAGCAGAGTAATAATCATTCTATGTTCCCTTTAGCAACACCTTTAGTGACAGGGATAGTGTTTTTTTTTAACCCGCTCATAGATTTATTTCCTTTTCTGAAATCAACATAATCGCAAAGACAAATTGAAATGAATTGTTGCCTTTAAGTCTTCCTTAAATCACAGTTAAGCCCACTTTTCAATAATTATAGATAAGTATTATGGTTCAAGGCATGCATGGCCACACAGATGATTTTTTTTCTGTTGGGGACCGGGGGAAAAGGACGTAGGTCCCCTAGTTGGTAGACATATAGTAGCATACACATGCTTTAGCAGTCACACAAAATAAACACTCGCCAATTATAATTTAATAGAATCTGAGAAGGTATACTTTTATCTAGATCTTTTAGGAATAAATCATTGTCAAAATTATTCCATAAAATTGGGATAAAAAACACAATTTCACCTTGATAACCAACAGTGTATATAAATGATATTGCTACTTTTAAGAGCACGACACATTTGACCAAGAGATGGCGACATTCACCGAACATATAATTGTCATTACAGACCCTCTGTCAGTGAATCGAACGACAAACAGGGTTTTTTTTATTGATCAGAGGGGCGACTAGAATTTGAGTGTTAAGAAAAAGGACGGAAAGGACATGTATCTTAGAAATACGCCATAATTAGCTTAATGTAATGATATCGCACTCAACTATAAATCTGTTAATTCATTTTAAGTGTATTCTTTTATGTCATGAATATTTTAAAGAATGCTCTTATTTCATTATTTTTGGTTATTAATTCATGCTTCGAGATTCCTCAAGATTCCATCAACATTCATTTCCTTCTTATAATCCAACTGAAAATAGAATAAAATGTATATTTACAATTTTAGAAGGAGTTTTTTTAATTTCTTTATTCATTTTATTTCCATTTATGTTGTTCTTTCTTTTTGGGTCGATTACCAATGTGTGAATAGATTTTGAATTGCTAATCATCCATTGTCGTTGTTACGTGTGTATTAATATATAATAACAACAACAAATAATCAAGAAAAGAAAGAAGGAAAAAAGAAAGAGAAGATAAGAAAAGATGGGGTGCCTCGTAAGGTAGATTGGCTAGGCCCCGCCGCCTGTTTTTTTTTTTGGGGGGGGGGGCACCAGTGGCATTGGGGCCCTGGTCCCGACTGGTCTCACTCGATGGATAAAGATAACAAGGCTGGTGATTGAATGTGGGGATTTACTTTACCTTCCCCTAGCCCTCCCGCCCCTAAGCGAAAACTATATTTATAGGGAAATTTGAATAAAATACTATGCTCGAAAAAAATCATTGATTACAAGCTCTTACTCAGATTTTATTGAAGTCAGGATGGACTTTTATTATTATTATTATTTTCTCAATTGAAGTCTGTTTTTAACCAAAATCGACATAGAGACGTAGACATAGAGGCATGTTTCTAAACTGATAGCCACCAACGTAACATATACTGTTTGCAAGCCCGAACTTGTTGAATGTAAAACATGGGAAGCAAGTTAGCTACCGTAGCTAAAGGACGTACCCCAGTGGCTAGTTTCTTCTTCTTCTTCTTCTTCTTCTTCTTCTTCTTCTTCTTCTTCTTCTTCTTCTTCTTCTTCTTCTTCTTCTTCTTCTTCAATACTGAAGATTCTTGCAGATGCCGTGTACTCGGCCTGTTTGGGGTATGCAGGTGGACCATTACACCGGGGTTTCCCCCTACTCTTACACGAATAGTGCAATGGGTTCTTAACGTGCAAGGGTGGTGACTCTCCTGTACACGGGGCCTCCATTTAACGTCCTATCCGAGGGTCGGAGTGTTTTCCACTTGACATAACCTGCATCTATGAACAAGGGAAGGGGCACGTTAACACACAACGCAGGCTTCAGTCATCCGCCTGGGTGGGAGTCGAACCCGGGATCTTTGGTTTCGACAGGCAGACGCTTTACCGACTTAGAAACATGATTAAATAATATATTAACCACCAGGACGTAATATATTATACCCTATTTTCATAATATGTTCGTGGTATAGACTACAGGCCCGTAGCCACGGAGGGGGGGGGGGGCAAAAAAAAATTCCAAAATCGGTTGAACTTTTTTAGACCCCTCCCCAGGGCGTCGATCAATTACATGTATGTGCCTGGCCCATCCACTCCTATTCAACATTTTGGGACTTATTGACAAATAAATTACAAACTGAATTATGGCTGGGTCCACGGAGGGGGAGGGGTGGGGTGGGAGGTATGTATCTCCACCATTTAAATTTGTTTATTTAGGTTCCTTTTTTTTCTTTTTCAGAGAACATTCATTTTCGCTCTTTGCACTTCCCCTATAATCTTTTATTAGGCAAAATCGATTTCTCAAAAGTTTCAAGATCAAGTCAGGATTTCACTTCCGAATACGATTCCACTTTCAATCACAGAGGGCGCTTTATTCTAAAAATAATTTTTCTGAATGAAATCACCGCTGCGCTGTCGCCCATGTAGAAATTCGTCAAAATTACCACAGAATGGCCGCCCAAAGGCCGATAGATTGGGTGGCACTGCTCATTCTACGTTTTGAAGATCAGGTAAGATGATTGATTGTATTTATAGTTTGATTTAAGGGTACATTGGAAAACTGATTTTATGTTAATTTAGTCGACATCTTTTTCAGCTACCAATTTGCATTGGACATTGCATTGCCAGTGCAATGAATGGATAGCATCTGCATTGAGATTGTGCACAATCCTGGTCGAACTGACTACACATCATGACATGGACCGTGCAGTGCAGTGCTAGTGCTCTACTCCTGGCTGTAGATCTAGTAAAAGTAATGTTTCAGCTTGCTATGTACAGGGTAAATTCTGCTGCTGGAGTCTGCAGACCAATAAGTCAATGAATGTTAATTGTAAATGACAATGACAATCATTTGATTTGAGTGTGAGTGCAGTGCAGAGAGTGAGAGTCATGATGAGTATGAGAGTTCACGCGTCCTGGGCCGGCATAATCAAACGTGTAAAATCAGACGATTAATTTAGATTCAGAATCCTTCTTTGCTCCTTGAAAAGTATAAAATTATTGGCATTCTAATGAAATTAGCCACCCATCATCGACTCTGTACAGTAAAAATTCTGTGCATGCAACTATATTGTAAGCTTACAACACACAGTTCCATGCTACACGCAAAACGACATGACTAAATTATCTTTTTTTTTGCATTGCTGTGAGCAAGGGAAGAACATTAACCTTCTTTTTAATGCCAAGCTTTCATGTAGCTTAAAGCTACTTTCCCTGAATATGTAATGTCGGATGTTTCGTCAATTATTTTTAGACAAACATTACAAAACGGCAAGTGTGCTTGCAATTGAGCGAGCAAAAAAAGAAATTAAAACTAGGGTGTCTGAACGATTTTTCAATTTTCAATTTGGGATCGTTTTTCACCATTTTTGTTTGATATTTGAATTAAAAATGTAATCAGAATAATACATTTCAAATTTCAAGTCTCGCCGATGTTTCTATCAAAAGATACAGCCCCTTCAAAACGCTGAAATATTCATAGCATTTTGCTCAGAATCGACGAAAAAGACGTACATGCAGAGTTATGTTGTTTTGCTAAATTTAGCCAAACAGCTGTATCGCGCGATATGCAAGCGTATGCATATCGTACGCAAGTTGCTCAGCCAATGCGCGACTTGCAAGCTTGAGCTACGCTGTCTCCGCGACACGTGCCATTGACTAGTATGGTTAGCGTTCGTCGCACAAAAAACCCGGAAGTGAATGCACGTTATAGTCAATGGCAATATCGCGGAGATGTCTCCGCGATATTGCCATTGACTACAACGTGTATTCACTTCCGGGGTTTATAGTGGGAACGGCCATCCATACTTTCATTCACTATAAGCGCACATGTTACGCGATGTAACCATGGTTTGGACTGAGCGGAGCTCACGCCTCCCTAATTAGCTGATTCCAAAAATGTGGGAGGGTATTTTCAAACTGTTATAACAAATGATCCCTTGGGGCTAGCAAAAAAAAAAGCATCTGGATATTATCCTTACGTCTAGCCCTGCTTAAGCCGCGGGGCGGCAGCTCAGGAAAGTGGCAAATTTTGGAGCTAGGATGCAAACAACATTTCAATCGCTATTTTGACCAAGATATTTTTAGAATTCTGGGGGTGGCCCCCGATGGGGAATATGGAGAAAAACCTGCTCTTTCATATGACACCTCATTTATTGAGTTTCACCTTCAGGATCATTTGTTATAAAGGTTTGAATTTCAAATTTTTTCATAAAATCATTGACCAATTTTGGATGGTCGCGCAATGCACGTAGACCACATAGGGAAGCGTACAATCTCTATGGGAAGGGTTTTAGCACACAACATTGGGTGCGCGATCAGACACCCTATTAAAACATTTTATCAAGATTATATGGTTTGGTTTCTTTTCCTCACCTCTTTGCACAGTCTTCTCATTTGCAATGTGTACTTTTGAACAAAACACTGGACACTCGAGTAGGCCTACGATTTCTCGTACTCAAATACTCGGCCGCCATTTTTTTTTCTCGCCCGTACACCTGGCACTGTCCAGGCCAACGCTTACCCATGCCCAGCGCCCAGGTGAGCGCCGGCATGGTACCGTGGGTAAAAATGTTTCTCAGCTCAATCACTGTCAACTCACCACTCAGAAACTGGGACCAAATGTCAGGATTTCTGTTTGGACTCGGAGGAAAATGGGTTATTCCGTCATCTTTAGTTTTTAAAACAGCATTGTTTACTATTATTATTGTCATTAAAGTACATGTAGATATTCATTGATTCAACAAGCTTTTCAAAATTCAATGCTTGGAAACATTCGAAGTAATGATTATTATAGCATATTTAACTCTACTCATTTACTCATATTTACTCGTATTTTACTCTACTCTACTCTACTCTACTCATTTTACTGTAGCATATTTAACTCTACTCTTGATCTTTTTTTCGTTAATTCTTGACTTTGACATAACCCCCTTTATCCCTTTTCTTTTTTCTTCTTCTTTCCAATCTGTACATATTCCTACTTGACCTCTGCACTCAGAGAGCAATAACTCATTGATGTCTCGACTTGGTGTCAGCTTGGGTTTGTCCACATTAGATCGCCCTCTAATGGGTGGGTTGGTTTTTTGCACATAATTTTCACACACATGGTGAGCTTGTTAGCTCACCCGGTGTGATGGGGATGTGCGCATCTTCAGGTATACTTGTTGTTGTCATCCATGCTGTGGTCAATGCATCGTTGGGTAGTTGTTCTCTGAGATTTTTTTTTTAAATAGTTTTATATATTCCATATTTGTTGTTGTATTCATGAATAAGTTATCTTTGTCACATCATATGAGGGGGCCTTCATAACAAGCTGTGCTTCAACCAAGGTCTCCTCGTCTTCCTTTATTCTACATTGTACTGTTATGATTATACTCTATTATATTTTGTTACATGTGTTTTCTGGAAGACAAATAAACTTGATACTTGATACTTGATACTTGATTATAAATTACAAAACGCTTAAATAACAGTTTTTAGTGATACATTAGTTGACATATTTGTGATTTTCTTTGAATTCTACCTTTACAATCAGCGCCTTCAACTACAAATCGAAGTAAATCGCGTGAGTTTTCGGAGACGGACCTGGGATACTGCTGCCCTAGTATGGTGGTGGCAAAAAAAACCCCAAAAAACATGGCGTCCGAGTATTCAAGTATTCGCCTGTAAGCCTGGGAATGTACTCGAGTACCTCATTACATGACATGCACAGCCTTAATTAAAATAGTGTGCAAAATAACCTATTTCCAGCCTTGTTTCGCTCTATGACAACCTTTTTAAAACCGTATAGAAATCTTCCATTGGAAATAATTAAATTATCCTGAAGCCTTTGGTATCTAGGTTATAATGAATATGAAGTGACACAGGGACATTATTTGTGTGGCATTCAACTAAGTTTACTAGAGCTGATGTTGGCCAAAATGTTTCGTCATATTGAGAAGAAAAAAATCTTTCTCCTTGTCATGCTAGACATTGATGTGTGCATGGCTCAGATACATTTACTACAGTGTAGGTATCTTCTTTATAGAAACAAAATAAGTCTCCTGCACATAAAAACCATGACATGAAATGGTGAAAAATACTTGTCTACTTTGACCATCTTTTTCAAATTGTGAAGAATGAGGGTGATTTGAAAAAAAAAAAAAATGTTAGTCTCCTTGTCTCTTTTCTTGTGGAGTTGTTGTTGGTATGATTTATAGGTATTATGAGAGCAATGGTAATGGCTTTCTCAGAGTAAAAAAGAAATCTTTGCAATTCAATATTTTCATACAGAAGTAAACCTCACACGAAAAGAGAGAACACTCTGTGAACACTAATAGTGTCTGAGGAGAAAAAATATCATGATCAATAGCAGCACTGTTTTATAAGATATTTAGTCCCAGGTGTTGGGAAATGTGTTTGGAAATAAAGGTCTGCAAAACAACTACAAAACAGTTGTTGTGAATTGAATCAGAAAGTAACTAAAAGAAGATTTTTGACCGACCGCTTTTTAGTGTCCCATTGTCCAATTTGTTATGATTGAATTCCTGATAAAAGAACATCTCCAATATTACAAATTCAAACCTAAGTTACAAGAGCAATGAGCATGAATGAAAATCATCGCAATGTCCTACCTGTACATCCGGGAGTTATGAGCATATCCAAAGTCCATGTTATCAACAAAATTCAAAGGAAAGCAGATTTGCCCATTCTTTGGGGTCAATGTGGAAGATTTAGTACATGTAATGTACATTGTAGTCAGCAAAGTTTTTTTCTCCTGATATACATGTAAGTACAGGTCTATGTGAAGTAATCAAAATAAATGACAAGAACATTTAAGAGGACACCAAGTTATTAGCATGTCAATATAAGTGAAAAGTTTAGTTAGGAGAACATTATAACTATTTGTACCTTTGTAATGCAAGGCACTACAGGTTTGAAATTCATGTGCGAATCCTTTGGAGCACACCTGTACATGCTGCTCTTTGGCAGATAATTTTGTATACTCTACTACATGTATATGAACTTCAAATTTAACCTAATATCTTGTTGTCCTACCTGTACTATAATAATCACTTTGAAATACAGCAAATTTTGTTTCATCTGTAAATGTAATGTTTGCAAGTTACTTGTGAGCAAGTTAAAGTGTTGATAGGGTGTCTGAAGGCACCTTCAAAGATCCAACATGCACAGTGGGAACTGACATCCTGCATAAATGTACATACTAAGGCTGCGACGAGTTCAAAGGTCAAAGGTCACAGGGCTCATTATGTATGCAAAAATAGCTTGTGATCACACTATCATTAGAAGTTTAGAAGTAATGGACAGGTTACTTTCAAACTCAAGACATGTATGTATCTTGCAGAGCCAATGAATTGATTAGATGTTGGGGTCATGAGGTCAAATTTCAAAGGTCATGGGCTCATTATGTACATGCAAAATGGATTACAATCAAACTTGAATTTTAAAAATTGCTTCTATTTTGGTTTGTAAAATTGCTCCATGGCAGAGGCATCATTTTTGACTACGC